GAAGCCATAAATCTAAACTTTCAATACATCCTGTACAAGTAAAATGTACTATGATGTAAGAGCTGATTATTGGTGGCCTGGATTAAAGAGAGACATTGGAAGATATGTACAGGAATGCTTAGTATGCTTACAAGTCAAAGCAGAGCACCAAAACCTTATGGAACCCCAGAAAGTCTTAGTGTTCCTGTATGGAAATGGGAAGAACTGTCCATGGATTTTATTACCAAATTGCCAAAGACTGCTAGACAACATGATAGCATTTGGGTAATTGTCGACGCCTGACTAAAAGCGCTCATTTTCTTGCCATGCGTGAAACGGATCCAATGGAGAAATACGCACAAGTATACTTGGATGAAATTGTTGCAAGACACGGTGTGCCATTAAAGATCATTTCCGATCGTGATACTCGCTTCACTTCTCACTTTTGGGCAAGTATGCAACGTGAAATGGGATCTCGAGTTGCTCTCAGCACAGCTTATCATCCCCAGACAGATGGTCAGACAGAGAGAACAATCCAAACCGTAGAAGATATGCTTCGTGCATGTGTCTTGGAGTTCGGTGGTAACTGGGATAAATACTTACCTCTTGTTGAATTTTCGTATAATAACAGTTACCACGCTTCAATCAAAATGCCACCATATGAAGCATTATATGGTCGCAAATGTCGTACACCATTGTGTTGGCGAGACATAGGACAAAAGATCCTTGGAGGCCCTGAAATGATTCAAGACACCACCGACAAGATTCAAATTGTACGAGAAAGAATGAAAGCGGCCCAGGATCGACAGAAGTCCTATACAGAAAAGAGGAGACGACCCATAGAATTCCAGGTGGGTGATTTCGTAATGCTAAAAGTATCCCCGTGGAAAGGCATTATGCGATTTGGGAAGAAAGGAAAACTAAGTCCTAGATTTGTTGGTCCTTTCAAAATCATCCAGAGAGTTGGTAAACAAGCATACCGCTTGGAATTGCCGGAAGATTTGGCAGGTATTCATGATGTGTTTCATGTGAGCTATCTACGCAAATGCTTGAGCATCTATGATGAGACAGTTCCATTATCAGAGGTGAAATTGGATAATAAGTTAAGATATATAGAAGAACCTGAAGAGATTATAAATGAGAGAACGGTTGATCTGCGTAATAAAGAAGTGGAGTTAGTGCTTGTCAAGTGGAAACATCATCGAGGCCCAAATTATACTTGGGAAAATAAGAATGACATAAGAGAAAAATATCCCCGTTTGTTTAAATCGTCGTGATTTCGGGGACGAAATCCTCAAAAGGAGGAGGTATTTGTAACATACACTTTAGTAACCTTGTTTAATTATCATGTTTCATATGATTGTTAGTTTAAAAATGAATATTATTATATATTATGTTGTTTTAAACGTTTAAAGTAGGTAGTTATAGTAAAATAGAATTGTAAGCGTTTAAAAAATATATATATATATATATATATATATTTTCGGTATGGTTTTAAGCGTTGATTTCTAACGAAATAGGTTTATAATATTTGAAGTTAAACTAAGTTTAGAATCATTTGGAATGTATTAGAGGTGATAGGGAAGTCTTATGTGATTCCGATCAAAAAGTCAACTATCGGAATTAACGAAAGTATAACGTCTAAGTTAAAAATAATTAAATCTGATTTTATTGGAAGATCTTTTCTGGGATATTTTTATTGGAAGTTGTAAATTATCTCGTTAGAAACGTACAGGCGAAAACCTCATCGAAAACGGAGTTTCGAGCGAAAAGTTATGCAATTTTTAGTGTTTAGGGGTAAAACGGGTACCCAAACCGGGTCAAACCCGACCCAACTCGGGTTTTTACCCATTGAAACACGATTTTGAGTCATTTTCCTGCCATTTTCAGTTCGTCACCATCCCTATGGGAGATTTTCACATACATGATCAATCTTGATCAAGTTTTGAAGATTAAATCAAGATTTTGAGTGTTCTTGAAGTATCAAGTCTAGTAATCAAGGTATGAACTCTTAATTTTTGGATTAACCCTTGTAATTAGTGAGTTATTAAGAGATTAGGGTTTGATCAAAGTGGGTTTACCACTGATTTAATGAAATTAGGCATGAGTTTATGTTATTAACCTAGAATCTTAAATGGAAATCAAGTAACTACATGTAAACTTGAGAATTAATCATATGGTTTAAGAGTAATTAGTGAAAATTAATAATGAAACCCATGGTTTATACTTGAATTAGAATGGATTACTAAAATATTCAGTGTTATCATTGTAAAAGAAGAACTTGGTGATATTGATCATGAGGTTTGATCATGTAAAGGGTAAAATGAAATTATAAAGGGTATAATTGTCCTGTTTTTGTAAAAATCACCAAAAATTATAGAAAAATCGTATGGAGATGTGCTATATATCCCTGGAAAGCTGAGAATGTCTACTTTGATTTTTGTTTTAAAACCAAAATCTAATTCCGGACTTAAAAGGGTGAAAACAGCTATATGTTCAGTGCAGTAAGGCTGAATTTTGACAGCTTTGGAACATTTTGACAGCTTTAGGATGCTGTTTTGTAAAATTCATAGTAAATTATAGAAAAATCATAAAAATGTGAGGTCAGTGGCATTAGAAAGATATAAGAGTCTATTTTATTAATATGTATAATTTATTAGTTATTTTGACATTTAATAAGGGTAAAACAGATCTGCAAGTGACAGCTATACAAAGAACAAAAACTAAAATTTCTAAATTGAAAACAACATAACTTGAGAGTAGTTGAGTAATTGCTTATGAAATTTGAAATATGAACTCCAGGGGTATAATTGAAGGTTTTAGAGGCCTGAGGATGGTGTAATTTCATCAGAAAAAGAGGAATTTTATCGCAACATTCGGTTACAGCACAGTGAGTTCAATATAGGGACAATTGTATGTTATGTGTTATATGTGCAATGTGCTTTCTTGTGTTATTGATCTAAGTGGTTATTACTTGATATTGATTTTGATGCCTTTGGCCATGTAGAGCATGACTCGTATCACTTTGGTATTGGCTTTGTGCCTTTGACCATGTAGAGCATGACTCGTATCACTTTGGTATTGGCTTCGGGCTAGGTAGGGCTGAAAGCCTGTATATTCTAGCAACATGATTAAAAGGGATTGTGTTTTATGTGCCTCTTGGGCTGGAATTTATGATGCTTATGATCCTAAATTATTGTGTCTTAATTATTGTAATCCTTTGAATCTAACCGTTTATTGATTTGGAAAGTCCTTCATTTGATACACATATAAGCCTTTGTTGTCCTTTGTTTCTTTTTGTTCCTGTCATATTGTTATGTATATGGCATAGCGTTATATTGTATCTATTTTTGAACTCACTAAGTGACGCCCACTTATCCCTTTTAGTGTTTAACTATTTCAGGTGATAAGCATCCAGAGTAAACACGCTTTGTTGGAGGACTTAGAGTAGTTGACACTACTACGTTTTTACTTGGTATACATATATGTATATGGATTATAAATTCCTGGGTAGTTATGTATTTATACAACTAGTTATGAAACTTTGTAAAAACCCTTTTAGTTGGTTTGTATCCATGCTTTTGTATTTAGACCACTAGTGTGAATTATAATTATGAATATGCATGTAGCATGTTTGGCTTTATGGTAATTTTAGTGAATGGGGTCTTACAATTTAACATTATCCATTTTAGAAAAATAAAAAAAAATATTGAAATTTGTAATTTTTTTTACCTATAAACAGAGTATGATATCATATAGCTTCATATCCAATCCTCATTTTGTATTTTAATCCCTTTTTATTTGTATCTTCTAAATATGGATGGTGAGTTTCCAAATTTTTATATAAATCTTGGAGACTCTCAAAATCGTTCTAATGCTCAGTATTTTGAAAATTCTCCGTTTTTTTTCAAATCCTAACCAAAATCTTACCACAAATAATCTTCAAACATCACAAAATACTGAAAAACAACCACGAGGAAATAAATGGGATGCTACAGAAGATGTCGCTTTAATGTCAGCATGGTGTTTTGCTAGTGAAGATAAGGAGCGTGGAAAAAAAAAGCATCATTGTGGGCACAAATAAAGCAATTTCATGAAGTCGCTCGGGTTAAAAATCCAGAAAAGCTAAATAGCATGAACAAAGATCAAATGAGAGGTCGTTTTAAACGACTTAGTGAAAATGCACAAAAGTGGGTTGGTGTATATCGGGAAGCATGGCGTCGAAGAAGAAGTGGAATGAGTCAAAAATATATTGAAAACGAAGCTCATAACCTTTATGAGGCAAGTGGGAACAAGTTCAACGACATTATTGTTTTTAATGAAGTTATGTGTAAACACGAAAAGTGGGCTTTAGAGTTAGATCGTGACACAACACGTTCCCGTCCTGAATGTGAAGTGGGTAATGATGAAAGTGGTGGTAGCTCGAAAAGATCAAGGGCTACTGAAGAAGGGGGGGTATTGTGTCCATTCCAACCAAGAAATGCCAACTAGTGATGGTTCAACAGTTAAACGTCCAACATGCAGAGATGCGGAAAAAGGGGGAAAGGTAAGGCTTCTAACGAAATTCTTACAGAACTCCGTGCAATGAGGCTTACTAGAGAAAGTGAACTTGAAGTCATGAAAAAAAGACTCGACTTGGATAAAGAAATGTAGCAACAAAGAATCGACTTAGACAAAGAAAGGGAGCAAAAAACAAATGAAAGGGAACTCGTTAAGATGCAACTTGTGCATTTGAACACACTGCTACAAAAGGAACATTTATCGCTTGAAGAAAAAACATGAAACACATTCTAATGTCGAAGTTTTATGGAAACTAATTATCAGTCATTATGTGTTTTATATTTCCAGTTTGTCTTTTAATTAACTTGTAAAATATTTTATTATATATTTTTGTGTGTTATGTATTTGTAAGATATTGTATTTTTTGTATTTCACGTATCTGTAATATATTTTATTAAGTAATGTTGTTTATAAATCTGTTTTGCACATGGAATTGTCAGTAGGCCACTAGCACTCTTTGTCATCTACCAAATCGAATATTATCTTTATTTCCATGTGTCACTTTTGTATTGGATGCTTAGATTTTATTTAGATAAACTAATAGAACATTATCTTTATTTTTTATCATTATCTTTTTAGTATAAATAGGTATATCACTGGCATACTTTGATATCCAACACTAACTCTTCATTTCTTATCTCTTTGAAAAATCTCTCATAACGAAAACTCACCGAGTTCGAATAAATATTCGGAATGGGAAGCACGGGCTGTTCAAAATAATCAACAACTCGATGAAATCATCATTAAATTACTCATATGAATATCATCCTCCCAGAGCAAGAAGGAGGTATTGCGATCGAGAACGTTAGCAGGGTGAGACACGTTTAATGGAAGACCACTTTATTGACAACCCAATGTATGATCAAGCAACCTTTCAGCGTTGATTCCGTATGCAAAGACCACTATTTCTCCGTATAGTGACAGTTGTTACAACCAATGACCTATATTTTCAACAAAGGCGTGATGCCACAGGTAGACAAGGTCTTTCACCATTGCAGAAATGTATGGCAGCTATGCAGGTCTTGGAGTATCGGACATCAGCAAATGCACAAGATGAATATATGAGAATGAGTGAAACTGTAACAAGGGATGATGTAATAAAGTTTGTAGAAGGTGTCATTTCATGTTTTGGTGAAAAGTATCTTAGAAGGTCAAATGAAGCTGATTTGGCAAGACTACTTCATGTGGGGGAGGAACATGGATTCCCGGGTATGATAGGAAGCATTGATTGTATGCACTGGACATGGAAAAATTATCCCACTGTTTGGGTTGGACAATATGCAGGTAGAAGCGGTAAACCAACAATCATTTTGGAAGTCGTTGCGTCGTATGACTTATGGATATAGCATGCATTCTTTGGAACACCAGGTACGTGCAATGACATTAACGTCCTCCATTGGTCTCCTATTTTTGATGATGTCTTAGTAGGTCGGGCACCAAATGTGAGTTATGTCGTGAATGGTCGGGAAAATAATATGGCATATTATCTCATTGATGGCATATATCCCTCATGGGCTGCTTTTGTCAGGTCAATAACTTCCCCTCAACTTCGAAAAACACAAGTTGTTTGTTGAACATCAAGAGGCCGCTAGAAAAGATGTTGAACGATCATTTGGAGTTCTACAAGCCCGTTTTGCATTTCTTCGACACCCGTGTCTTTTGTGGGACAAGGATATGATAGGGAAAATTATGATTGCATGTATTATCATTCATAATATGATTGTGGAGGATGAACGTTGTACATACCTTCACTATTATGATCCATCCGAATTTCTAAATGACAGGCCTACAAACCGGAAACAAAGAACCTATATTGAAGATGATGATCACAATTTAGAATATTCCACTCAACGAATTGCAGACCTATCCAATTATATGACTAATAGGGCACAACTTCGCAATAGAGAAGCTAATAACATTCTGAAAAACAATTTTATTGAGTATATATGGCAAAAATTTGGCATTGATGGATAATTATGTAGTTTGCATCTTTCGTATCTGTAATTTTGTATTTCATGTTTTGATTGTAACTTTGTTTATCTATTTTATTAAGTTTGTTTTACAAATATAAAATATATTTTTTTAGTTTTATATTTAAAATAAATCATTTACTAATAGAACTAAATTAAATATTTTTTAATTTTTCTAATAAATATTAGTAGAATAAAAAATTATCTTAATATTTATTAATTATATAATAAAAAAGTTGTTTGAGTTGGTTTGCTAATGGGTGTAAGAAGTTGGCTTGGGTATGTGGAAGAAAGAAAAACTATTTAATTAATGAATAATTGGGTTGATTTTAGTTATGAATGAGAGTAGTCTTAGGCACAAAAAATGGTTCAATAAGAATGAAGGGTATTTTGGTCCATTCAATATGTTACGGGATCTGATCCTTTCTAATAAATGAAAGTTTTTTTTTGTCATTTGTGACACTCTCATTCAATTTTTCAAATGTCATTTTATGGTTATTTTGAATTAATTTTTTTTCCACATGCCATTTTATGAGTTTTTCTATTTTATTAAATTCTACATGATATTTTAGTATAATAACCGTAATAAATGTATTAATAAATAAATATCAATATCATTAATGAACTTAACTTTTAATTTCAAAATTTTTAAAATTAAAGCTTATTAGTTTCTTTTATTTATTTAAATTATTTGATTAAATTTAAAAGATAAAAATATTTCTATTATAATAATTTCTTATTTTCTTATAAATTTAAAGTTCTCAAATATTTTGACCTTTATAATTAACTTTTTTTTAAATTAACCCATATAATACATGAGTCTCACAACTAGTAAAAAAATAAATATAAAATAAGATCTTAGATATGAGAAGGCCAATTTTTACTTTGAGCCGGGTGAAAAACTAACAAAAAAAAAAACTTTTGAGTGTTAGGTCAATTTAATTGAAGATTGTATAGCTAATTGGAGTTCAATTGACAAAATGTTGGGGTTCAATTCATTATACACGTACATTTCCATGGTTTTGATTCTATTTATATGTCTTATCTTTCATATTTATATTTTTTATTTTCCTTATATGATCGATTGTGTATCTGTCATATTCTTAATAAAAATATAAAGATTAGATTAATATTTATATTTTTTATTTTCCTTATATGATCGATTGCGCTAATTGATTATCTTTTTTTGTTTTGTTTTTTCATCATACCTTATCTTTATTATATGTTTTGTAGGATGAAGGTTCAAATCTTGAAGCTTTTGTAGCAAGGAGCTGCTACCCTTCTTTTTTGGAAGGTTTAGTTTGATTAAAATCACCTAAAATTCAATGTATTTTGATATAATCACTTAGGAAGCATAAGTATTCATAATTTTTTTTTTTTTCTGCAGGACATTGCTTGCTTAAAGTCAATTTTAGAGTTTTCAGTTTTGATAAAGTGTTTATTGACAAGTGAAGATGGTAAGACAATGAGTTTATCATGTTTATGGGAAAAAGGGGATTTTAGCAAAGTTAAACATGTTTTTAGTTATATAAAGAAAAGGGGTTATCCGCCAACTCTTATATCTAATACTACCCTTAAGAAGATATCAAGATCATCAAATGATTCTTAATAATGAAATGATTGTTCTTCAGGTATGAGTTTATTTTTATTTTTCTTTGCTTTTATTTTGTTTGAAACATTAATTTATTCTTATTTTTTTGCAATTTCTTGGATTTGATCTTATTGACTATTCTACACACCTCTCAATTGACGGTTTATCGATGATATGGAGATTAAATTTTAATTTTTTTACTTTTTTTGTAACTCTGCAAATATTTTCTTTATTTTCGTTTCTTCTACTTTTTATTTGGATTTTATTTATTCAAATAATGATCAACTTTAACATTTGAAGGTGCTTCTTACCTCTATCCTCTTAAATATATTGTAAATTTATTTTTTGATAAATAATGTTTGTGTCTTTTTATACTATTTACACGAGACAACAAAAATGGTTGCAGATGGAATGATGTTTTTAGAGGCACCTCTTTTGTTTTCTCCTTGACATGTATTATTTTGCTATGTATTATTTTTATTAAATTGGAGATAATTTGAACTTATGATCAATATATATATAATCATATCTGAACTTATGAAAATGAATGTTGTAGCTTGCACCGACTACTTTGTGTATATCTAATGAGGAGCATCAAGTTGTTGACTTTGAAAGGTTTAAATAGTTTTTATTTGTTAGCAAATTTATCATCTCTTGTTTTTTTATAACAATTTTTTTTAATTATATTATACAGATATTTGAACAACATATTTTCTATTCAGCATCCAGCATGACCTGTTTATGAACTCAATGTTTATCTTAATACTATTCATCAACTACTAAATATTCAACTCTTTAATATTATTTTGTTTATTACTCAACATGTTTAACACATATAAGATGCATCTTAAGTGGTTATTGTGATACATGTGAAAATTAATTAAAGTTTGAAACCTTGTTTAAAAGAAACTTTTCTATATGACTATAAATCTAAGTTTATCGACCCATGTTAAATAAATCTTTCAAAATTATATCGGAATAATGTTGTGAATGTGTAGCTAAATTGGAATTAAAACAAAAAAAGATAAACAAAAATAAAAAAGAAAAACTTTTTAAATTTAAGCAATTTGTAATATTTTAGAAGTTCACTCTTTTCCATTTATTATGATTTTACAGGTTTACCCAAGAAGCTTTGAACTACGTGTTCTTGAAGAGAAATAGCGGGTTGGTTTTTACAGTTTCGTCTTCTAAAAATGTCATATTTCATTGGGTGGTGCAGAAGCACATTTGCTGGACATTGTTGATTCCATAGATTTGTCTTTGTATGAGAATCTTTTTGATGAAAACAATAAAACATGCCCTTTTTCTAGAGGTTAGAAGTTTCGATTCCAGTAGGCATCATTATTTTATCTTTTTATTGCGTTAGAATAGTTACTTCTCTGTGTTTGGCTAGGAATTATTACCAGTTTTTATAAAAATGCTTATTTTTTTCAAAATATCATCTTACTCTCATTATTTGTTTTAATTTTAACACATAGCAATGTAATTTCATGCAATTCATCATCAACTATATAGATAGCACACTTATATAAACAATGAATAATAAGTTATTATTGGGTTTTCATTTTGAAGATAAATAAGATGAACTTCGATGTTGATGTAGGGATGATGGTAGAATTCTCAATCAACATGTTAAAAAATCAGGTGTATTTATTTTTTTCTATTTCTCTACTTAAACAGGTTTCATTGGTACCTGATACAAATTTTAATTGCTTTTTGTTTTACAATATTTTTAATAACTATTGTTTATCTATTATTAGTTATCAACAATATATTGACAAGGTTTTTGGTCATCCTTCCACGATCTAGGGTTGACAGATGCGGTTTCTATATACAGTCAACTACTTTTTGTTTTTTTTCTTGACAGTCTTCAAGTTTTTGTCCTATTAGCCATGTTGATTGTTGATGTCATCACTCAGCTTTGGCATTCTCTAATGCTATTATGAATCTATCAAGTATAACGTTTTTGTTCACGTTTTTTATCATCTATTAATTTTTTTGGTGTTTTCATGCAGGAAATTAAATGAAACAATGATTTATAGGTGGATTTAAAGATTTTGTGTTATATAATTTTTTGAATGGGTAAAATGTGAGAAAAAGCAATGTACTTTCATTAGTTTATCTAATCAAAGCAGCTTACTTTCATTTTATTTCTAAGCTATTTTTAATTTAATTTTGTTTAAGTTTTTGTTTTTGTGTTCGTATTTAAGTATTGAAAATTGAAAGTATAATGGTTTAATAAGAAAAAAAAATTAAAAGAAAATTCTAAAAAAATAAAATCTAGAAAGGAAAGTGTAATGATATATTAGACAAACAAATGTAAGCACATTGCTATATCTTGCATTTACCCTTGATTTGGCTAAATGCATGAAATAGCAATGTAGTTTCATTGTTTGCCTACAATCACATGTATCCATTTCTATAGTAAACAAATAAATAAAACTATACAAGGGCGGATCCAAGGGGATCCCGGGGTAGCCCGGGATACCCCTCAAATTTTTTTCGGTAGTGTAATTTTTGTTTACGTATCCCTCAAAAAAAATTTGGTATAATGTATATATACGCATCCATCCACTTATAAACATAAACAAACAGTTGGTCTGTTGGTTAAGGCTTTGGCTTATTCAAGCAAAGGTCTTGAGTTCTATTATCGCTTCTTACATATGCTTTGTTTATTTTTGTTTTATTTTCCCAACTATTCTATCCCACATCGCTAAACACATGTAAACTCAACCATTTTTTTCTATTATATAAACCTTTTATGCTCATGCTTTATTTGATATCTACTTTGAGTCCCATATCGATTCAAGTATCAAAATATACTTCAACTTCATGTTTATATAACAAGACTTGAGGTTAGCTAAGGATTCGATTAGGATTTGGGTTTAAAACCGAACCCGAACCCGGGAAACCCAAGTACCCCAGGAAAAAAATTAGGTTACTCTAAAAAAAATTAGGATACCCCTTTACTTTGATCCTGGCTCCGCCACTGAAACTATATTGCTATTTATTGATTTTAGCCCTCAAAATAAATGTATATATTAAAAAAAATTACGAATTTGAACTCTATTGTCTTATCGATTTCTTCCCCTAGATGACGTTTTTACCCCTACACCTTGAATCCCTTATTTATCATAATAAAGCATGGTTCTTCATGGGTCGGCTATGTTTTGGAATCAAGAAAACAAGTTGGCGACTAGATCTGAATACTCCAAGTCCAAAAGGAAATATCAATCTAACTTAGCACATGCAAGATGTCAAAGATCAAGTCTAATTTAGCCCTTGGAAGTTGTTAAAAAGTTCATGTTGATGCTCAGTTTTAGAGAAGTGCACTGCTATTTCAGTTGTTCTCAAGCCCTCTCACCTTCAAGCACTTTCATCAAATGGCATAGAAAATCCGACTTAGTATGAAGGGTCATGTCTAAAGAAGTCTCCTTATAGTTTACACCTTTAAGTCCATTAGATATTGTTCACCCGAAGATATGATGTTTGTTTGTTTTGACATGTATTTACCTTAACTATAGTGTCCATGTACTTTAACTATTTCAGCTCTCACTTGGTCTTTTCTAATAACTATATATTCAGTTGTTAAAAAAACATTATAAGTTGCAAGTTACTTATTGTTTCTTCGGGTAAAATGAAAGTTACTTATTGTTTCTATGGGTAAATGAAAGTTACTTATTGTTTCTTTCAGTAAATAAATGAAAATATGTTGCTATTATGATAAATAAATGTAAGTCTATGCTATTATGGATTAAAAAAAGTGTGTTGCTTATTTTTTTTTATTATTATTATTATTATTATTATTATTATTATTATTATTATTATTATTATTATTATTATTATTATTATTACTATTATTTTTTGCAATTTCACCTTATTTTTATCATATGATAAATTATTGTGTATATCTTTTGAATTGTTGGAATTTATGATTATGAGCATCTTGGTAAATTGTTATCGGTGACTGAAGACATGAAGCAAGAACAACACCAGATTCTCGTAATGGGCAAGTTCGGTTTGATATGGAACTTTCAAAAAGTGAAAGTGGGTCGCAGAAATTCTATAGATATCATATATTCTTGATTCTAGACGGGGACTGTAAACGACAAATAAGAATTACACTTAGTATGTAAACTTCTCATTTCGTGATTTATTTCCTTTTTGCATATAAATATTCGGTGTAAATGCAAGAAAAAAGAGCCATTTGTTTGTCTATTATAACATCCTATTTTTATATATTTCTATTACGTTATTGTACATCCTCCCATTTTCTTTCCTCAAATTTTCAACAGGAAAATAGAATGAGTTTTAAATACCTTAAAATGACTAGAATCGTAAAAGATAAGAAAGATAATGATGTAAGTTACAACGTATTGTTTAAATTATCTAATTTTCTTATGATACAAAAATATTTCCCATCCAACTTTTATTGATGAGTATTCTATTAATTTATATTTATTTGTTATGTTTATTATTATATTTTTTGACTTTTACAATTAGTATGTTTGTGCTAATATAGAAGTTGATCATTCAAAGAATACTAGTGTGATGATGATATTCCAAGTTGCCTTTAACTTGGTTATAATATGTTTTAAGACATTCTTTTAGACCTTGTATTTTTGCTAAATCTTTTTTCTTAGAAAAACAATAATCCAATCATGCAACACGTATCTGAGTTGAACAAGGTGATGATGCACAATCACATACACGGTGCATTGCATATTCTTTTTAATACAAAATGGCAAAATATATTTTATTTTTAAAGTAAAATTATATACAAAAAAACACGTTAATTCATGTTCGATCAACCCGTCCACCGGACGGGTATAACACTAGTTGAATATGTTTGTAGGTTTATTCAATTTCAATCTAACATCCTAAACGAAGCTATCGTATCATGGGATATCATCTTTGTAGGTTTATATATATATATATATATATATATATATATATATATATATATATAGGATTAGGTTCATTTGAGATCACCTATATATATATATATATATATATATATATATATATATATATATATATATATATATATATATATATATATATATATATATATATATATATATATATATAATTACGTTTATTAAAATCTTCTTAATATCCATTATTAACTTTAACACCATAAAAAATGAACTAATGTCATTAAATAATATATTTTTTCTGTAATGGTTTTTTACCATTAATAACTAATAAGTTACAAGTCATAATTAAGATATTTATAACATCATTTCTGAAATCTTATATTAGCTTTTTCAAACACACGGTAGGATCGATATTCTCAATTTCTCATCCCATTTTCATTACAACTATTCTTAAAATAATCTTTCTCATGAAAGGTGGAATCTTGGAGGTTTTTCTTGAGAGTGCAAGAGGCATTAGGCACACCAATCTCATTGGTATACTTCATTTTACTCACCAATTTGGACGTTTGATTTGTTGCTAACAATGATGTTTATATATCTTTTACACAGCTAATATTTAATTTCACATATATGTATAACTTTTAAAGGTAAACCGAAGTACTATGTCATCATCGAATGTGGGATTCAACAGAATAAGAGCAAATCATCAAAGGGCGATCATCACAAAGTTTCTTGGAACGAAAAATTCAACTTTGAGTTGTCAATGTCTGAATATCAGAAGTTGACACATTTAAGATTGAGAATCATGGATAAAGAGTTATTTGCAAATGATACTGGATTTGTTGGCGAAGCCAAGTAATATCTTATCTATTATATTTGCAAATCATTCATGTATGTTATATATATATATATATATATATATATATATATATATATATATATATATATATATATATATTATATATATATATATATATACACCCTTAAGGGTATATAAGCTTAGGTACCAAAACTCATTATAATACGTCATTTTGTTTAATATATATTCATTATAATGTTTTCGAAATTCCATTATTATCTTCCTCTTACATCACATATTTTTGCCGAACACCTACTAAGCTATATATATTATAGTTGAAAATGAAAATTATGTAAGAGGAATATAAATGTGAAATTGATAAAAAAAAATTGGAAGTAAATCAAGTTAGAAGTTGAATTATAAGAACATTGGATAATTACAATAAATATATATATATATATATATATATATATATATATATATATATATATATATATATATATATATATATATATATATATATATAATATATATATATATATAGTTCACCTAAAAAAATTACTTTCTGAACAAAGTTTTAAGACTTTTGAAATATTTGTTCTTAATATATAATTGATCAATTCATCTTTACGTTTTAGTGGGAAAAATGATAGGATTATTTGATCTTGTAATGCTTTTAGAGGTTGAATAATTAGATTGTGAGAAACATGCAAACAAAACCTTTTTTTGTAAAGGTAAATATAAAATTACCTGATTAGTTTTAACTTTAGTTTTTATGTTACAACTAATTATCATATTAATTATGATTCTTTTAATTTTCATGTTCTTCAATGTCATAATGGTTAATTTGAAAATGCACATCCAACTATCTTTTCAATACTATATACAAACAAATAATTTTTATATATCACATTTGATGTTTATAAAAATATATCTTTTCCAAATTAATCTCCTTTTAGGATTTATCTTGAAGAAATACTTGTTGAAGGAAATGAGAAAGGACTAATAGAAGTGGCACCAAAACCATACAATGTGGTTCTTGATGATGAAACTTACAAAGGGGAAATCAAAATTGGACTCAAGTTCATTCCCAATGTAAGTATACTTGCACTTCAAGGGGGTTGAATGCATATTAATTATGTGTATCTTCTTAAATTTTACTTTATACTTGATCAATCAACAAAAGACAACTTAATTTCTATTTTTGTAAGCAGAGAGATGTTTGTTTGGATTAAATGAATAAATTTTTATTAAATTGAGTGTTAAATTATGTTAAATATTTAACAACATAACAATGTGTGTTAATTTGCTTCATCTTCTGATTTGCAGGCAGTCATCAAAGAAGTGGGAAGAGGAATCAATACAATAGAAAGAGATACTGACGACACGATATGGAATAAATTGGTGGAAATGTGCAAAATTTCATGGTGTAGGCTTTCTATTTATGGTAGAAAACTAAAACCTAGTGAATATAAGCGAATCTAAAAGGCTAGCTTTTATATATGTTAGGAAGATAATAATGCTATATTTGCATATCAGTAAGCTTCT